GTGAAATTCAACTGAATTTAAGTTAACGGAAATCAGTGGCGGATCCAGCGGGGGGTTTTTGGGGGTTAAACTACGTGTCAGTCAGTAGCGCACCCACGGGCGGTGTTTTAATATGGCGCATATGCATTTAAACACCCCCGTGGGTCCGTCAAGGACTGACACGTAGTTTAACCCCCAAACACCCCCCGCTGGATCCGCCACTGACCGAAATTAAAGAATACACGAAAAGTGAGAATATATATAAAAAATAAAAAGAAAGTGAATTGAAAATGGAAGGAGACAAAAAATTAATGATGTAGTAAGTGTTTATTGTGCTTGTGCTTGTGTGAATGTGTTTTGTACATACATTTCTATTCCTATTTGACATTAGTTTTGTTGTTGCCATTCTTTGTACTAAAAATTTGGTTTTTTACTTTCCTTTACTTTTTCCTGTTATTCTCTTTTAGTGAGCGCATTTTGCTAACGCTCTTGCATTTTGACACTTTTCAGATTTTAGTCAGAAAAAATAAGGAATGGACGTATTATACAAATTGATTGAGCACGCTCCTCTAACCACTGGGCTACAGAGGCCATCAGAATTCATTTCCTTATTTCATTATTTACCTAAATACGTGCATTCCTTGTAAATGTGCATGATTCAATAATACACGGCTAGATAATTATTGACAGCTGCGGTTTGACGCTCCCTTACAAAAGGTTGCATTTACGAAGGACAGAGAAAGGGCAAGAATGCAATCCCTTGTGGCGAAAATAGTAGTAGAAAAGTACGCAAAGTAAGCAATTAGTAGTGAATTTCCTTTTGTAAATTCTAATGTATTTGCAGGAAATCTGGCATTTTAAACGAAATGTTGAACGTAATATTGATATATCTACGTGAATTACGTAATTTATGTGCTATTTAGCTGTATAAAAACTGCAAAATGACTCAAAATTAAAATAAGACTACTATGAGATTGATGTAAACGTCCAATGCTTATGTTTTCATCAGTTAAATATGCTTCATATGCATATACAAATAAACATATTGCACAAAAGCTTATACTTTTATTTCACACCAAAGCTACACTGTTTCCATGTAAAATTGCAAAGAAGCAACACGGTGCCACTACTAAGGGAGCGGTGCGAGAGAGACAACTGTCAGTTTATCGAACCTTGTATTATTGAATCATGGTAAATATGGATGTACATACATATGTATTAAGTAGTATGCATTTTAAAATAACCTTGTTAATAATTTTTTTACAACTGCATATTTGTAGTCCCAGCATTTTATATTAGTAATAAAATATTCAATGACACAAGCTTCAGCATATCAATGCACATACTTATTTTTTACCTGTACATATATAGACGCATACATATGTTTGCACAATTTTGCAAGCGCAAAACTAAACAAAAAATGCATTGCCGATCATTCAACCGGAAAAGTTTGTGGCAAAGCCACAGCAACAGTGGAGACAACGACGCAAAAAGAAGCAGCTTTTGGAGACAATGACACGCGATATTCAAGATGCCATAGAACTACCAACGGTGAGTATTTACAAGCATTCAAGTAAAGTAAATATGGATATGTACATAAATACAAATATCTATGTAAGTACTAAGTGGTAACTTGCTCAATGCTTATGCCAAACCTTTTTAGCAGACGATCTTGAAAATGCGCAAATGCTATACACCAAGAACAAGGTCATGGTGATGTACAACTTTTGGTGATGAGTGGTTACACTGGCTGCGAAACTTATTACGTTTACATACAGTGGCGCTCACCTAAATAGCACACTTTTATTTTTTGCAATATTCACAATTTTTTACGTGATACATTTTTTTCGCTAATTTTTTATAAAAAAATATAGTAGATTATATAACATAAACCATGTAAGTCAAAGTTTGAAACTTTGTGTACAGTTCAGGAAAATTTAGGGAAATTCAAAAAAAAATATGTCATCAAAATTTTAGACTGCGTAGCGTAAGCGACATTTTTTTTCAAAATTTTCCTTTTGATTCCTTTGTCGTTTTGAGAATGGATTAGCTACCTTGTCTTTAACTTGACTAACCACTAAGATTCATCAAAGATCCTGCAGTACCTATGTGTGCAGAGTTAGTAATGATTCCCCACGCCCACCCGCTTTCCCCTCCCCGTTTTATTCTTTTTCAGGCTCTGAAGTACAATGAACAACTGTGCCTGAGCACTTGGAAAATATGTAGATTTTCGGTCCTCCGAAACTTCGATTCCTTGCCACTCCAACAATCTCTTACAGATTTTCCACAAAGATTTATTACGTTCAAATGTAACGTAACTTAAATCGTATGCGAGTCGGCTGAACATTTTTTTACGATCATACATTTTTTAAGGGTGAAATTAAGCCAAATTGACCGATGGTTGTAATCGACCATTTTTGACTTGGATGACTTTTGGTCAGAACTTTTCTTTAAAATCATTAAGCGAAGTTCTACCAAAGCAAAAAAAATATGTAAAAATATTTTCGAAAGTTCAAAATTTCACAATTTCCCAGATTTCGCTAATATATTTTTTGAATATCTCAAAAAATATTATAGTCTAAAAAATGGTGGTGGGCGCGTTTTATAAACAAACAAAATCCAAAAAAATTAAAAAAAAATAATTAAAAATTTTTAAATCTATAAAATCGTAGATACAAAAACGTACATATTTATGTACATAAATTTTTGACTCAAATTTTTTTTGTATACAATACCTCTAACTCATCTTAAAAGTTCCTGAAATTTTCAGTAGGGTATTTTTTTAAGATATAATTTATGAAACCTAAAAAAAAGTATTGCAAACTCTACATTGAGAATAAATTTAAATTAACTAATAATTTCCTAACATAATTTTATCTATAATTAAAAAAAAAAAAAAAATTTTAAAGTTCACAAATACATATCTTTATAAAAACACCTTGACAATTTCAGGATCACTTTGAGGTATTGTAAAATTGTATAAGTTTTTGCTCTTACGATTTTTTGTAATATCAAAGTTCTAGTATTGAATAAAAAAATTTTCACCTAAAATTTTTATAAATTTTTTTAAATTTTAAAATTCAGTTTTTTTTTATTTATGTCTTTTATATATCTCTTCTTTGCAAGCCGAAAACGAGACCAGAGCCACTTTTGTACCTTTAATAGTTATTGAAATGTTTATTCAAAAAATAAACTTGCTAAATCCCGGAAATTTTCAAGTTTAGAGTTTTTTAGTCATTTTTTTACTTTGGCAGAACTTTGTTACATGATAACAGAAAAGTTCTGAGCAAAATTCATCCAATTAAATTCCAACCAGTGGTCGATCTCACATGGATTGACCCATATACATACATAGTACGTATTACGTACATTTGCTTAACATAGACTCCGACTTTGTAGCTTTTAGTATTTTTATTACATGCATATTATGGATTCCATCGTTATAAATTACTTCTGCTTAGAAGTTTCTTATACACACATATATGTAATTTCGCTTTTGAAAAAATACCCAAGAAATATTTATTCAAAATTAATAAAAAATTTTTTCTGCACTTGTTCAAAAGCTCAATGTAAAACCAATTTATAATTGCAATTGCTTTCAAATTTGTTGTCAACTAGATTTATTTTACCTTGAAGTCACTTACATACTTAGTACATAAATGCAGCTTACTTAAAAATACATTTGACTGTACCTGTTTGTTGTTTTTTGTGGTTAAAATCATAAACAATTATTTTCAAATTACTGTTTTGTTTTCAATTTCGCTTCCCTATAACTTTTCGTTCCATTCAAAATAATAGAAGTCCCTGACACAAAGTTAAAAGGTTAGTTAGCGGCCAGAGGCATGCAAAGGCATAGACTAAATAAATAGGTATAATAGAGTCTAAAGAGGGGCCAAGAGACAGATCAGATAGTAGTATTCATAAAGAGTTTCTAGACCAATGGCCAAAAGGAGAGAGATGGTAGAGAATTATAGTGGCGAATTTCTAGCAATCGGCTTTAATGGGTTTTACTCTATGTTGCTATGTATGTATGTATGTATTTATGTAAGTATGTATTTATGTGGCTTGCAGGAAACCTAATTTGTATGGTATTTATGGTTTTATGTTTATGTGTTCTATTTACTCATTTTTTATGGCATGTAGTATATATGTGGTATGTATGTATGTATATGTATTTATGTTGCCTTAGGTGTTCGTGAGGAAAAAAAACCCATTTGTGAGACAAGATGCCGAATGGACGATGTACCATTTACTCTTCATGCAGCTGCAACAATGGGTCTCAGAAGGAAGTAACTGATGCCTGAGTTTTTCAAGCGTACTTTTGCGGGGCAATATTCTAAAATAGTGTTTTATTTTCTTTATGAATGCAAATGTATACACATTTATATCTATTTTAAATCACAATATCTTTCGCCTCATTTTATTGGTATTAACTGTTAGTCAAGTCTTTGTTTGATACTATGAAAGAAAAATTTAAGCTTTACTTATTTAGAAATTATCGATAAAAAATTTAATTTAAGTCGTTTTTGTCCTAAGCATATTTAGCAAAGTCTATTAAAACACTTACTTATTGACTTCTAAAAATAAAACATATCTTCTCCACAAATCAGTATTTTTTTTCGATATCACTTCACTTAATTGCAGGGTATTCTCAGGCTGTTAATTCACACTTCTCCTTCTTAGTAAGTGCATTGTGACGTATTCCAATCGCAGTTATGACAGTCGCATGCACCCGAAAACGATGTCGTAATCGAGAATATGAGTTAATGTATTTTGTCGATTAGAATGCAGTTGAATTTTCAGAATAAAGCAACGCGCACTCAATACAAGCACTATAAAGTTACCGATGTCGAATGGACTATATATGAGATAGATCAACGAACTGGAACCAAGATATAATGTTTCAAAAACCATGACACCATGAAATGTTGAAATGTACTCATAACACTAACGACGGCGATTCAATGCAATGGTTTCGATGAATAAGCAAAATAAATTTTTTTATAAAACATAAAACTTACCTGGCCAGTACTTTTTAGGTATTGATATGTGCCATGAAGTGTATTGATATTATCACGTCCTGAAATGGGGAAGTGAAGGTGGTTTAATTAATTTAAGGTCAGCTACTCTAGTTTAAATTAATACTACAATTAAATTAATTACAATTAAAGAAAAGTTTTGTATGTATCAATCTCAACCTAAATTTTAATCTCAATCTTAATTTTAATTTTAGTAACAATCTGAATTTTATTTTAATCACATTTTTGAAAAAAAATGTCGCTTACTTTTTTTTTGCGGTTAGGGCACAAAATACCCAAATTAAATTTGGTTGTAATATGTACATATCTTTAGTTGGATGTGGTACCTTTTCGGCCAAAAACATTTACATATTTTAAGTAAATAACCCTACAAGTTCGTGGAAAAAAATCATTGACATTAGCCGTTTATAAATACTCGTAATGCGAATTTTGCCTTGAAAATTTGTACAGATACATACAACAAAAATTTTAGCCACCACAAGCCCCTCTTTTGGTAACTTATTTTTTGTCTGGTTTCATTTTTTGTAAAAAAAATTAATTTTAGTTTAAAGTTTTGAATAATGTTAATCCAAAAAACTGGCTTAACTACCTAAATATACTTATAAATGCTACTCGCATTCTTTAAAAATTATATTGATGTTAAATTCTTTATATGAAATATTTTACAAAAATGACAGTTTACAAAGCTTTTAAAATCTGTTTAATTTTTGGTAATTAGCATTTAAATGTAGTAGCAAAAATATCTTTTTTTAAGAATTATTACATGCATCAGATACTCACTTGACTCTCTTGAATTGATCTGATTACCAGTTAAGCCGAGTGCTGAAAATTCCGATGGTTGTAATTTCACTTCCATCTCCTTGAGGCGACTATTTAATTTATTTGTATGCATAAAAAGGAAAAATGTGCAGGATATGGCCAATATAGCGATGAGTTCAACGGATCTGTGAAATAAGTAAAAAAATACATACAAACATTTATTAGTTAAATTTGTTACATAACTATGTGCATACATACATAGGAAAAATATGGGACCGTGTGAATAAAAACTAAGCAATTGCGTTTTCTTAAAATTTCAGACTCGATTTATTCAAATTATAAACTTAAGTAAAGGGTGTGAAGTTTTAAGAAAAGTAATTGCTTAGTTTTTCCATACGGTCCATGGTTTCTAAAATCAACAAGCTCGCCTTCCTGGACGAAGGAGCAAATAAGTATATGGGGCGTTCCATACCAAACGAACGGGGTTCACACTTCATGTGTTTGATTCGCTTCAAATTTTTAGGGTTGATGCATAAACATAAATAATAAATAAATATGAAATTTGAGCTTGATTAATACATTTTTAAAAACTTTACCGCACAAAAACAAAAACAAATCGATTTAATAGTTTTCCAAATATCTCGAGAACCGGGCAAGGAACAAATTTAAAAAAAATCACACATACACACATCAAAAATTCTCTATGAAAATAAATATTTTTAAAACTTTTTTTCTTGAAAAATTTTTCACATACAAATAAAAAAATAAAAATATAAAAAGTTTTTGAAAATATACCATCTCAAAAAAATTTAAAAAAATCACAATGGTAGCTCTGAGTATCGCGCAATATTTTAGTATAGTATTATGGGTTGCACTTTACATTTGTAAATTTGTAATGTACTCATTTTACTCAACTTCTGTGTAAAAAAAAATCATAACTCAAATTACAGAGAAAACAACAAAGAATAACATTCTGTAATTTTTCAGATGAAACTATAAAGCCAATACTATAGAACTTTTTAGGTTTTTGGGACGAAAAACTAAATGAAGTGATTTTCACATGCCACTTTTGAAGTCAACTTAACTACATTAAGGGAGTTCTGCAGAAAATACATAAGTACATATATACATATGACGCGATTTTTTAATAAATTATATATTTTTATATTTAAGTTCTTTTGTCACACATATTTTTTAAATTAATTACAGTGCATATTTTTAGTGAGATAAATATATTTCAATATTGGTTTTTTGTTATGATTCCTTCCTTTCCACTCCTTGTAACTCCATGAATAAGCATATTTTCACATATGAATAACTAATGAAATAGAAAAGGGGCTTCAATTGAAAGAAGCTGGTATTGTAAGCATTTGTATTCTTTCTCTAAACATTAATAAGCATTTTAAAATATTCAACAAGGTCTTTGAACTTTTTCGGACCATTCTACTGTATGTTTGCTTGCTTATAGCCGCAAGGCAGGTAATATGGCGTTAAAAACTTAAAATTGCTTAGAAGCAAAAACTAAACAAAGATAAGCCGAAATACTTACATACGCACATTTAAGCAAGTAATACATACACATATGTATATATGTATGTACATATGTATCTACGACGTTTGATCTGCAGATCAAAGCAGATTGGCGAAAGAAAACAGTTGAAGCACCTTTGCTCGTCACGTATGTACATAAATACATACGTACATACATAAATGTGGATGTCTAGTAGTTGATCGAAAAATTAAGTGGCCAAACTACAGGTCGTCGAATTAGCCAAAAAGTACGATGAATCGCCAATACTATCCAGAATATTGAAGGTAAGGGTCAATTTTAATACCGGTTTGCTTTCTTAATGATATGTAACATAGCATAGCAAACGAAATGAAAAATGTGGTCTCTTAATTTAAAGTTCAATGAACGCTTTTGCTACGAATGAATGCTGGATGAACGTACATGCATACATTCATACATATGAAAGTATATATGTATGTACATACGTATGTAAGTAAATATCGAGTTAGTAATAGCGTGTGCGCAAAATCGCTTATGTCAGACTTATTTTATGCAAATATAAATACCTGCATATGTAAACGGTTTAATTTTAATTAGCTAACTACATTTTATGCGACTGATTCGCCTGAGTTTGTTTGTAAATATGTATACAAACGAATAAATATGTGTAAAATGTGAATGCAAAATTACAAAATTGTTGTTAGCTCGTTAATTTCTCAACCGTAGTAGATAGAAATTTTAAGATTGGAGATACATATACATACATACAGTGGCTCAAACAAATGACCACGTGTANATTCGTAAATTTTTTTTTGTTATTTTTTTGTTAACTTTAACCAAAACCGTATTCAAACTTTATAAAAAATTTAGGAAAATTCTACAAATTTTCATCAAAATTTTTATTCGGAATTTTTGGGTATGCAGTTTTATAGCCCATACAATTTTAGTCTAATGAAGTGCGAGTTTCAAACGGCTGAAAAATCGCGTTGATTTTTGAGATATTTTTTTTTACGGATTTTTGCACTTTTTTCCTTATAAGCATGAATTTCTTATGAAATGAAACGCGGGAGAACGTTAGCAACAAAATTTCAAAATATCAACCGCCAGTTTTTGTAAATTGCACTTGTTATATTAAAAAAGCCGAAAAGTAGCCTCCAAAAAAAATTCTCAAAAATCAACGCGATTGAATTTTCCTAAATTTTGTATGAAGTTTGAAACTATGATTTATACGGTTTTGGTTAAAGCGATATTTTTATAGAGAAATAACATAAAAAAAATTTAGCTCGAAACACATTACGAATAGATACATATTTAAAAAAAAATCAACACGTGGTCATTTGTTTGAACACTGTATGTATGCAGGTACATTAAGGTGGTATTTAAAATCAAATGAACGACATATCAGTTTTGGTACCGATTGATTGAATATATAGAATCGACGTAGGGGTTTAGGCTTAGGAAATCTGATGTAAAAACTTGCTTTCTACCGTTAAGGACCACCCTAATGTGCATATATTTTATTTGCAAGTATGACGGATTTTTTAGATTTTGTTTATTAAAACTGTGTTTAGTGCGAGTCTCAACACACACGACTACTGCAGATCCCTAAACGAGATGGGTAAGTAGTCTGAACTTTATTATTGCTTTATTGAAACCAGAACGTGCCAGCCGACGAGACGGCGGAGGCACTTCCAATAGAGGGCATGGACGTTCCACTTTTGCAGTATTTAATGGAAAGGTTTGGCCAGGCTACTCGCTGCCTACGAGCTTATTTTAAGGGATCTATCTCTTAGACAAGTAAGTAATAAGTGGGCTAGTCTAACCACTCACAGCAATACGGTACTTACATACTTACATATGTGGATGAAATGGAACTAGAAACGGTCGAAAGGTGCCATCATGCTAGGCATATATAAAATATTTTATATTTCCTACCGGGCTGCTCATGCGGAGCAGTTCTCTTGCGCTAACCAACACAGCCACAGTTTTACTTTTGCCGACCCCTAATTTAGTAGGGATTGAACCCACTCAGCCGCAGTGGGCGTCAAAACCCAGAGTAACCTAGTATTTAATAGAATAATATCCTTTCTGTCGAAAAGATAACCGAAGAACCTGGCCTGTCTAAGCAACTATTCCGCTTCCAAGCACTTACTGGTTGCTGACTACCTACCTACCTACCTACCTACTTTCACAGCGTATAAATCTTCAAGAAACTAGAAAAAACAAAATTCTACCAAATATTGGAAAACTTTATGGAACCTTTTGCTAAGCTTTTCAATCTTCCACAATCTTCCTCTGATTTACTGCGAAAATAATGTTTCTCAGTCCGAACCCGGCTGAAGTCTTGCTTCTTAATAAAGCTTTATCAACTTCGAATACAACTGAAATTTATCCCAAGCTAACTAATATGCAAAAAGAAGAAGAACTCATAGGAAAGGGCTTTAACTCCAAGATATCGCTAAAAACCTCCTAAAGGCTTATTCATTTCATTCGGCTCCTATCTATATAGTATACGTATGTATTTTGATAACGATATGAATATTGATTAGAACTAAATTTCTTCTAGGAAAGCCTTAATTTCATGGTATGTCTTAACAAAAAGGACTCTTTAACCAACCTTACTTTTCTTTGCCAAAAGCTTTGATTCAGCCTTTCTCAATTTTGCAATTTGCGCAATCCAAATCCAATAAAAGTCACACTAAAAAATCTCGCAAAATGTCGATACAGGAAATTGAAACAAACTAAACGGTAATAAATTACGCAACGGCAGATATTACGGTAATTGCAAAGTATTGTAAACAAAAGACTTGTTGAAAGAATCACCGGAAACATAACTTCTTTTGCAATTGGCAATTGACTATAACACTTTTTTCATTGTCAATCGAATTGCATGCGAGAGATGGCTTACTGAACCCGGCTGAACGGTTTATTGCTCGAATTAAAAATGTCAATAAAACACAGATACATACATGTAAACATGCTCATAAATCTCAAAAACAAAGAAAAAAAGCTGACATTTTTTGCGGTAATAATCAACTATCAGTGCAGTAGGCTAAGCTAATTTTAATAAAAGGCATTGTCTCTTCATTCAAAAAAAAAAAAAATAAGAGAGCTAACTAGCAAGCTAATCATTCGCTAGAAAATTAACATTACGTAAAAGTTAAGTTATTAAAGTTAAACTATCACAACCCAAATAAGTGCATAAGTGAAATGAAACTTATGTAAATATTATAAATTTCGCAGAAATCCCCTTATTTGGTTAAATACTACGCGTGGGTGGCATAAGTGAAAATTTTCAAACAACTTCTAATAGATGACACCCAAAAATTTGTGAAAGTTACAATGCTTTTTTAAGTGGATATAAATTAGCAAGATCAACTGTGTGGTATGTGTGTATATAAAAAAAAAAAACAAGCTATTTCGGTTTATGTAGGAGAAAATTTGCAAAGCCGTGACGAGAGCAGATAATGCTAATCAATTTGAAGGTGGCTTACGAGTACAATAACAAATATCCAACAGTATGTAAACAAATGAAGATTCAGCTAAATATGTATTTATATACATATGTATGTAAGTATGTATGAAAGTACTGAGTATACAGATAAATGTATATACTATGTATGTAGGTAAGTATGTGCAATCAGTAAGGTAGCGCATACTCACTGAAATACATAC